GGTTTGGAATAGACTGCCACCAGAGGTGGTTCAGGCACCCACTTTGAATGCCTTCAAGACACATTTGGATGCTTATCTTGCTGGGATCATAGGATCCCTGCTGACTTCCTTCCCATGGGGCAGGGGGCTGGACTCGATGATCCTCTGGGGTCCCTTCCAACCTGAATGTCTATGAAATCTATGGAATATGGCCCTAGACTCCTAGCATATTAGTAAAGCTCCTAATTTCTTTTTACCTGGAGAAATAAATGTGTGTGTTGAGTTCCACCCCAGCTCCTCCACGAGTTCCCCTGCCGGTGCAAATTTGCAGCATGGAACATGTCTTAATGTACCGGACATGCCATTTGTGGTGCCACAAACCACACCTGCCTGCACGTCTGGACTGGGCCAAACAGATTTCCCATACAGCAGTAACAATCTAGGGTCCTCAGCTGCCACAACGCAACTGCCACCTACTTTTGGACCAGCAGAGCTGCCGGGTCAGTGCTGGAGGACAAACGCAACCTCAGCACATGGCGTGAGAAATGTTGGCTTCCATATACAAGTTCAGCTGCCACTGTTGACCATCCTGGAACTGCAATATAGGAAGCCCATGCAAGTTTCCCCAAGCCCAGAAACAGCATTTAGTGATGTCCAGATGGCCAATCAACCTGCAGTTACTATCCATTTACTGAAAAGACCATCCATTCCCTTCATCTGACCCATCTGCCTCCTTGCCAGACCAGTTCCAGGTCAGGCAGAGCAAATATGAGAACCTTTCCAGGCCTAATTAGCAGGAAACACTCCATCACCTCTTTGGCATCCATGCTGATGGCAGGGAAAAAAACATGTGGGACTGTAACTATTAAAAAATGGTAAGGGAAATAAGGGGGAAACAGAGAGAACAGCACTGAGGGACAGGTGCTCATACTTCCTCAGTATAAAACCAGTATCTCATAATGCAACACACACACTCCTCCTTTTTCCTCTAAAGGCACAAGACCTTTTATAGTTCAGCTATGCCAGAAACCAGGTTATTCTTTCACTCGCCCCTCTTTAACATCTGAGATACTGAGTCACCATGTCAACAACTCTTCTGTCTCAATTTGTACCAACTGAAACGTAACAAAAATTTTAAGAATTAAAAAAAACAACCCCCAATCACTTATATACCATTCAGAGACAGCAATTATACTTGGTGTCGACCCACCTCCAGAGCCTAAAGCCTCTTAGCTTCTCAATGGACATAAATTGCAAGTATCCAAACTCCGCTGTCATTATCTTTTGCTTTTAGAAAAGAGAAACAAGCTGTTCCATAGGAGAAACGCACCGGGCAACCGCACTGAGCTGAGCAGCTCTCCCACAATAGCATGTACGAGCAAAGAAAAAGCTAGACAGACTTGTTCCTCGAACGTAAGAATTCCCATTTACCTGGTCAGCCTATAGGTCCGTCTTGCCAAGTCTCGCAGGTCACAGAGACAGGCAGCGGATGCTGAAAGGCAGAGTGAAGGGGGTCTGACCAGGTTTTTCCCCCCACTGCTCCTCTCTCACTTGCAGCCACCACATTTAAAGTCTAGGATGCTCTAGCTCAGTGGCCTCGTGCCTCGCTCCCAAGCCCAACAGCTACCAATGCCCTTTTTCTCCTATAACGTGTCCGATCCCTCTCTGGACTCGGCTGCACTGTCAGCCTCCGCAACAACCGGAGCCAAGGAGTTACACATTTCCATTCCACTGCATGAAAAATAACTTATTTTTGCTAGTTTTAAACTTCCTGCCTACTCGTCTCATTTTTGTGACCCCTCATTCTCCTACCCAGAGAGAGAGACAGGGTCAAATAATAAAATCCCTACGTCCTTTCTTTTTGCCATTAAACCCTAACCATGCGCCTCCTTTCTAAAGGGAACAAGCCAGGCCTTTTTAGCCTCTCCTAGGGAAGCCCCTCCACGCTGCTGAACATCCTCGCTGCCCTTCTCCAGGGCTCCTCGAGCGCTGGGGTTGTGGGGAGGCACCGTGGATTTGGAAAGGGGGCGTCACGACCCTTTTTATGTTGTTTGTGACCCCCCTCTCGACAACAACTAACATTTCCCTTGCGTTTCTCTCCATCGCTATCTGCTTTACCAACCCTTTTTAAGACCAGGCTTCAAAGGCGCTCAGCCTTTCCCCTCTGAGGGACCGGGGCTTCATCCGCCCTACCGGGAGGGAAGAGGGGGCTGAAGGAGATGAGGGGAGCGGAAAGGAGCCCTCTGGGGGTCGGCAGTTTGGCGGGGGGCGGGAATGGCGGCGTTTCCCGAGCCCGGGGGCCCAGGCTGAAGGGTGCTGGCGCCCGGATCCGGCCCTGCCCCGATCGAGACGCGTTTCCCGGGGCTGTGGGGGCGCGGGAGCCGGGCTAGGCCTGCGGGGAGAGAGGCGCGGGACCGGTACCTGCGTCAAGGAGAAGCGGGCGGCCATGCTGCTTCCATCACGCCCGGCCGAGCCGCCCCGCCCCAAGTCCCGCCCCTG